AAAAAAAAAAAAGAAATGTAAGATGGAACCTCCTCCTCTCACACGGAAGAAGTCCTTGTTCATTACAACCCTCTGTAAACCACAGATAGAAGGAAGAAAGGAAAACCCCCATGGTCTTGAGAGAAGCAATATTACCTATCACATTTTCATTATCTCTGTAATGTTTTGCTAGTATTTATGATTGTGGTCATGTGATTTAAAGAATATTGTAAATATTGATTTCATTTTTTTCCCCTAGTCCTGGGGCTTGAGTTCAGGGCCTAGGCATTGTCCCTGAGCTTTGTTGTGCTCCAGATGAGCTCTCTACCACTTGAGCCACAGCTCCACTGCTTACTTTTTCTGAGTAGTTTTATTGGAGATAAGTCTCAGGGACTTTCCTGCCAAGGTTGGCTTTGAACTGCAATCCTCCAATGTCAACCTCCTGAGTAGCTAGGATTACCGGTGTGAGCCACTGACACCCAGCTGTTAATATGGATTTTAATTTTTTTTCTGTACCATTACTGAGGCTTCAACTCAGGGCCTGCAAGCTGTCTGAGATTTTTTTTGTGTGTGTGAATTGTGGGGCCTGAACTCTGGGCCTGGGTGCTGTCCCTCGGCTCCTCAGCTTGTGGCTAACACTCTAACACTTGAACTACAGTGCTACTTCCGGCTTTTTCTGCTTATCTGGTGCTAAGGAATAAAGCCCAGGGCCTCATGGAAGGAAGGCAAGCACTCTGCACTCTACTACTAAGCCACCTTCCCAGCCCTGTCTGAGTTTTTTTTTTTTTTTAGGGGGGGGTCTGGTCGGCTTCACTTTGGCTTTTTTTGGTGGTTAAATTGGAGGTAATAATCTCATGAACTTTCCTGCCTTAGCTGGCAGGATGTTTAGATCTCAGCCTCCTGAGTGGCTAGGATTACAGGCATGAGCCACTGGTACCTACCTTAACATTTTTTTTTATTAGAAATATTTGTGTGGGGGCTAGGAAGGTGGCTCAGTGGTAGAGTGCTTGCCTTGCATGCATGAGGCCCTGGGTTCGATTCCTCAGCACCACATAAGCAGAAAAAGCCAGAAGTGGCTCTGTGGCTCAAATGGTAGAGCGCTAGCCTTGAGCTGAAGAGCTGAGGGACAGTGCCCAGGCCTAGAGTTCAGGCCCATGACTGACCAAAAAAAAAAAAAGAAAGAAAGAAATATTTGTGTGGGTGTGTGTGCACACGTATAGGCATGTACATGCACACGTGAGCCAGTTCTGGGGCTTGAACTCAGGGTCTGGGCACTGTCCTTGAGCTTTTGTACCTGGCTTGATTAGAAATTTTTCACTCTAATTCCCTGGCAGGAAAAGTTTCTCTTTCTTCGTTCTCTCCCTAATTTAACCCCGTTACACTAAAATAAACTCTTGCTAAAAATCTGAAAAAAAAATTTCCTCCAAAAAAACAACTTTATCACCAAACTAATACCAATCAGGTTGTTCTTTTCTTTTCTTTTACCTTGCTTTCTTTCTTTTTTTCTTTCTTTCTTCCTTCCTTTATTTCTTCCTTTCTTTTCTTTCTTTCCTTTCTTTAGTTGGTCGTGGGGCTTGAACTCTGAGCCTGGGCACTGTCCCTCAGCTGTTTAGTTCAAGGCAAGCACTCTACCACTTGAGCCACAGCACCACTTCTGGTTTTCTGGTGGTTTATTGGAGATAAGAGTTTTCACAGATTTCCTGCCCGACTGGCTTTGAACCACAATCCTCAGATCTCAGCCTCCTATGTAACTAGGATTACAAGTATGAGCCACTGGTACCTGGCTCTTTTTTTTTTTGTCTATATAAATACATAAAGACAATCCAATTGGTTCCTATTTTTATAGAGACTGCAAATATTTTCTTGCAGCCTTTTTGGTGGGAGGAGGTATTGGGGATTGAACTCAGAACTCAGGTCCTTGTGCTTGCTAGGCAGATACTCTACCACTTGAGCCAAAGCCCCAACCCTCTTGTACCCATATGAGAAGGCCAACAGCTTTCTTGTCCTTTCTCCTATTTTCCCTTATGAAATTATTTTCAGATATTTACTTTTTTCAAGTCTTAAGACAGTGCTCCCCTTGAACATTTTTCTTACAATCCTATTCTTTATCCTTTTCTTTTGACAAGTTTTTGGATGAAGGGTGATCTCTTCATAAGCTATCTTTTGCCAAAGCATATAGTGAATGAAAGGCTCTCAGGCCACTGCTCACCTGGAAGACGCTGGAGTTCCTTGGACCTTCAGGACATTCTTCTGTCTTACTTTTTTTTCCCCCTTTTTTGTCAGTCATGGGGCGTGAACTCTGGGCCTGGGCACTGTCCCTCAGCTCATCAGCTCAAGGCTAGTTCTACCACTTGAGTCACAACACCACATCCAGCCTTTTCTGTTTATGTGGTACTGAGGAATTGAACCCAGGGCCTCATGAATGCAAGGCAAGCACTCTACCACTGAGCCACCTTCCCAGCCCCGTCTTACAGTTCTATCTTTCCTTCAAGCTAACTTAGATTTTATTTGTTTGTTCAGCCAAATAAATTGTGTGTCCCAAGTCAAAGCATCTGTGGGGTGGGCTGGAATTATATTTTTTTTTGTTGTTCCTTTGTTTATGTGGTACTAATGAATTGAACTGAGGACGTTATGCATGTAGGCAAGTACTCTTCTACTAAGCCACATTACTAGCCCTTGGAATTGTATTTTAAAAGTGGTTCACACCTGTAATTGTATTTTTTTTTTTTTTTTGGTCATGGGGCTTGAGTTCTGGGCTTGGGCGCTGTCCTTGCGCTCTTCAGCTCAAGGCAAGTGCTCTACCACTTGAGCCACAGTGCCACTTCTGTTTTTCTAGTGTTTTATTGGAGATAAGAGTCTCACGGACTTTCCTGCCTGGGCTGGCTTTGAACCTCAATCCTCAGATTTCAGCCCTCTGAGTAGCTAGGATTACAGGCTTGAGCCACCAGTGCCCAGCTGTAATTTTATTTTAAAGGTGGCTCACACCTATAATCCCAGCTACTCAGGAGGCTGAGATCTGAGGATCATGGTTCCAAGCCAGCCCAGGCAGGAAATTCCATGATACTCTTCTCTCCAATCAACTATTCAAAAAAAGCTGGATGTGGAGCAGTCATGTGCTAGCCTTCAGTAAAAGTTTAGGGACAGGCTGGAATGTGACTTAGTGGTAGAGTGCTTGCCTAACATGCTTGAAGCCCTGGGTTCGATTCCTCAGTGACACAAACAGAAAAAATTCAGAAATGGTACTGTGGCTCAAGTGGTACAGGGACAGTGCCAAGGCCCTCTGTTCAAGCCCCAGGACTGGCAAAAAAAAAAAAAAAGTTATCTCTCTGATGTCAACCAATGTGTAGTAACACATTGTATACATTATATGTATTGATCCACTCAGGTTAGACACACAAATACATTCCCCTTTGCCCCCAGTTTCTAAACCAAAGTCACATGAATGGTTATGTACAGAGCTATTTTGATTCTACCATCAGATATTCCACAGAGGGTTCTGCTCATTTCTTGTGGTGCCCTTATACCCTGAGTCTATTTTCTTGGGTGTCAGGTGACTCCTTACAAATTGCTTTCATTAAGGTTATCAACATGGACTATGGAATGAAAGACAAGAATCCAATTGATCATGTTCATTTCTATGGCAAGAGGGACTTGCAAACAGCAATCAAGATTTCTAAAAAGCAGGTAATTACTTAGATAAATATATTTAGTGCTATATATCTCACAAATCATTATAATTAGTTTGTTGAGTCAGTGTAGATGGTTTTAGAAAAGCACCAGGCATGGTGGCATATATCCATATCCCAGCACTTAGGAAGCTGAGGCAGATAGTTGAGAGTTCAAGACCAACCTAGGCTACCTGGACCCTGTCTGGGGTGGGGAGCATATTTTAAAAATTAAAGTACATGCACATATATACTAAACCATCTTAATAATTAAGCCAGGTTTTCCTGTTTGCTAAACATAAATGAAAAAGCAGTGTTTATATTGGAGGCCTGGTGGGAAGTGGGTGTTGGGCACCATGCAAGTACAGATATGTTTGTGCATCTTCTGTTTGAGTCTGTGGGGGGAATGTATTTAGAAGATAAGCCACATAATCTTATTGGTATAATACTGTTAATGTTATTTGCTGTGTGACAATTCGTTTGAATGTTTGTCTTTGATGATGGAATGAAGTGCTGGGGGTTGAACCCAGGGCCTCGCACATCCTATGTAAAGTGCTGCTTTTAATACAGCATCCACACTGGTGCTCAGGAGCCAACAGCTGACACTTTCTAAAGTGTACATTGGAGGTAACGATGAGATTTCTATTTTGGAAAGGTTTCACGCTTCCTACCAGAGACATTTGCAGAACAGCTGATCCGTGTGTACTGTAAGAAGACAGATGAAAAGAGTCTGTTTGCTGCTACACAACAGTTTGTCCAGTGGTGCAAAGACCGAGACTTCACCAAGCCACCGGTAGGTGGCCTCTCACATACTGTGCTTTTTTTGGTGATGGTCATGGGGCTTGAACTTGGGGCTTACCTGCTGTTCCTGAGCTCTTTTTTCTCAAGGCTAGCTCTCTACCACCTTAAGCCAAAGCTCTACTTCAGGTTTTCTGGAGGTGAATTAGAGATAAGAGTCACGGACTTTTCTGCCTGGGCTGGCTTTGAACTACAATCCTTAGATCTCAGCCTCCTGAGTAGCTAGGATTACAGGTATGAGCCATCCGTGCCCAGCTTTTTTTTTTTTAATTTTTAAGGATAGGCCATAAGGACTCTCTTCTGCTGACTGAAAAGTTTTCATTTAAATTTTAGTCAGTTGGGGATGATGGCCTCTCCCTGTAATATTAGCTACTCAGGGGAAAATCATGGTTACAGGGGCTGGGAAGGTGGCTCAGTGGTAGAGTGTTTGCCTCACATGCATGAGGCCCTGGGTTCGATTCCTCAGCACCACATAAACAGAAAAAGCCGGAAGTGGCGCTGTGGCTCAAGTGGTAGAGCGCTAGCCTTGACCTGAAGAGCTGAGGAACAGCGCCCAGGCCCATAGTTCAAGCCCCACAACGGACCAAAAAAAAAAAAATCATGGTTACAGGCCAGATTGAGCAAAAAGTTAACAAGACTCCATCTCCACAAATAAGCTGGGCAGTGGTAACATAGCCCTGCCATCCCAGCTGCTTAGGGGGAGGGAGAGTTAGGAAGATTACAGTCCGAAGCTGGCTATGGGCAAAGATGGGAGATCCTACCTGAAAACAACTCTACCACCTGAGCAATATCTCCAAGCCCCTCCCTTTTTTTTTTTTTTTTGCTCTAGTTGCTTTTTTACAGAGGCCTTGCATTTTTGCCTGGATTGGCCTCCAAACCTCAGTTCTCCTACCTATGCCGGCCACAAAGCTAGGATCACAGACACAAGCCACCATCCCTAGCTTATTGGTTGAGATGGAGTTTTGATCCTGTTTTTGTCCTGGCTGGCCTCAAACCAGGATGCTGTCAATTATTGCCTCCCAGGTAGCTGAGATGACAGGTGTGAGCCACCGCGCCCAGCCAGAGTTGCCTATTTTCCCCTGTGCATCCAGTGCTAAAGGGAATAGCGCAAAGGATTCAATGTGCCAGAGTAGCTCAGTGAGTCTTCACATTAGTAGGTTCCAGAGTTGGTTCTCAAAGATTCCAGGGGCTGGCTTGCTGCTTGCTCATGAGGAAGGAGGAGCCTCTCTGTGGGGAGGCAGGCCCGGTAAGGCTGTGTAGAGAAGGAGGGATGAGTGTGGCAGTGAGGCCTCATTTTGTGTGAGCAACTTGAGAGTGCAAGGACCAAGTGGGGCCTGTCTGACCAGAGTGGAACACTCCTGTCATTGGATGGTAAGAAGGTAAGAAGAACGCACTCAATTGTGGAGAACCTTGGATATTTTTTTTTCTTGCATATAGTAGGGAGCAGCCATTGACTATTTAAGACCTACTGTGCTGCTGTAATTATGAGCACATATGCATGCTGGGTGAAACCATGGGAATTAGGAGATATGTCTACTTCAACCAGGGCAGTCCCAGAAAGCAAACCACTGACACCTATGGCTGCAGATGAGCTGGCACTGGGAGGGGCTTTTCCGGGGACAGGAGTAGAGACTAGTAGAGTATGTGTGTGCCTCTCACCTCGGTGGATCCACTCATGAAGTTTTGGTTGTTTTGCCCTGTGTTAGGTATCAGGGATAGAACAATACCAAAGGAGGGACATAGTTCCTTAGTCCCAAGGGTCTCACTCTATCTAGTTGGAGATAAAAACACAAATAGGCTACAGTTTCAGTAATGTGCTTCAGCAGGGCTGGGTACAGAGCTTCAGAGGTGTGCATGCATCATTCCAAATATCCTGAGTGCCATCCATCCATAAGACAGGTCTGCAAAGAGGGAGGTGGAAACTGGCCTTTGTCTATTCCCTGCTTTTCTTTCTCTTCCCTGTAGGATGGTGATATCGTAGCCCCACTCATAACACCTCACAAAAAGGAGTGGTGCTACCAGACTTCAGAAACTCACAGAAAAAAGCTTAACTTTCAAGATGGCTGAATGTCTGCAGTTGGTTATTGACCCTCCCCACCCCTTCTTCACAGAGAAGTTGGGGACATTTAATCACAGTTCCGCACACTGATTAAGCCGTGCTTTCTTATGTTGTATTTTGAGTGTATACCTATGGTGATGGTGATTTTTATTCAAAGAAATGAGAAACATGCTACCCAGCTGATGGGAAGCATTCCCTTTTTTAACATTAATTAAAGCCTTTCTCTCTTACTAATCTATTTTCTTAGCATAGTAACTCTTTTTTTTTTTATCTACTCTGAACTCTATGACAGATGATTGTTTTCTTCCTAATGTAGAAGTTGAGATAAAGATAAAAACTGAAATTCCAAGATGGAATTCAGGGGCTAGGAAGGTGACTCAGTAGTAGAGTGCTTGCCTCACATGCATGAGGCCCTGGGTTCAATTTTTAGCCCCACATAAACAAAAAAGCCAGAAGTGGCTTTGTGGCTCAAGTGGTAGAACACTAGCCTTGAGCTGAAGAGCTGAGGGACAGCACCCAGGCCCAAAGTCAGAATGAACAGACCTGGTAAAAGATAAACAAATTTCTGTCCCCCTAAAGAGGTGCCAATCTCCCCGAGTCAGGGGCTGGAGCTCCTCAACTGATCTAAACACCAGTGAGAGATACATTCCCTCCCCTCTCTGTCCCATGAGCTGCTGAGGATGGATAGACGCAGGTGAGGGCTAGGACTGGCCTCCAGCTCTTTGAAGAGAGGATCTGAAGCTGAGGCCTCCTCCCTCTCCCCACCCCCACTGGAGAGTGAACCCAAGGTCTCTCATGTGCCAAGCGAGTGCTCTACAACTGCAGCCCTGGCCTCTCGTAAGTGGAGCATGAACTCCTTCTTAGGACAGCGCAGGGGTAAAGGGATGTCTCAATCCAGGTTGCTCTCTGAGACCAATAGCGATGGTTTCTTCCCATCCCGCCCCCTCACTGCTGCAGTCCAAGGGTCCTCCAGAGGCCTCCCTCCACCTGCTCTCCGTCCACTTGGGAAGCCTTGGGGCTCCTCCCAGCTGGAAATTCATTTTTTTGCTGCTTTTTTTTCGGGTTTCTGAGCAGACTGGCTGCCTTCGCCAAGGCTGGTGACAATCTGGGGATCCCAGGTACCTGTGTAGCCCGAGGTTCTCAGCAGTGGAGTGGCAGTACTGTGCCCAGGGCACCCCATTCCCAGCCCATAGACGCTCATCAAGTGATATCCAGCCAGGCACTGGTGACTCACGCCTGTCATCCTAGCTACTCAGGAGGCTGAGATCTGAGGATCATGGTTCAAAGCCAGACCAGGCAGGAAAGTCCATGAGACTCTTATCTCCAATTAACTACCAAAAAGCCAGAAATGGAGCTGCAGCTCAAGTGGTAGAGCACTAGCCTTGAACAAAAGAGCTCAGGAACCGTGCGTAGGCCCTGAGTCCGAGCCCCAGGACAAGCACACACAAGAATGACATCTAGATTTGGAACCAAAGCAGTGGTGGCCAGAGGGTGCTGTGAACCCCATCATCTTAGCCCCAAGCTCCCTTGACAGAGCCACCTCCCTCTGACAGCTAGCAGGAGTGAGGCGAGAGCCAGAGCAAGTGGGGACAACTCTCCACACAGGCCAGCAGCTTCCCTTGGCCACCGCTTCCCCTGCCTGGCACGGTTCTGCCCTGTCCACTGTAGGTGAAAGTATCGGGTGTCCGCCATCCTGCATGACCGCCCCCCCCATCCATCCGCAGAGTTAAGAGCTGTCATCATTCACAGGAGGGGGACTAAAAGCCTCCTTCCCCTCCCACCACGCTGTGTATGCGGGAGGCGCCTCTCCACAGGCTGCGCAGTGGCTCGGCCAGGCGCCTCTCTGTCCAGGAAGGGAACCGCTGGTCTCCACCCTGCGAGCCCAGACTCACGGTCAAGAATGTCTTCTTTCCTGATAAGATTTATTTTTTTAAATTTCTGTCAATCTTTATCTTTAAATCACTGTGGTTTACTCTGGAATTTTGTACTCCTAACATTGTATCTCAGAGCTTTCTAGAAGCATCTCTTTTGTAACCATCACTTGTCCTATATGAGGCCACTGCACTTTATGTTGTTTGTAACTGTTAAAAGCATGAGACACATGTGCCATTTACAAGGCTAAATGTTTCTTAAGGAACACCTTAACTGTGTGGAAATGGAGATTGTAGCAGCTCAGTTCCTGGAGTCACGTTGTCACCTTGAGACTGTAAATAGAGCTGCAGGTGGCAGCGACAGTTGCTTCATGAAGGCATCTCCATCTTGACCCCTCCTTACTGCGCCCAGCCTGTATCTCTGTGCAAAGGACTCCGCCGGGGTGCTTAATGCCACGGCACTGTGGCAGCTCTGAGCGGGGATGGTATTGAAGGGCCCCACGCAACTCCAGAGTGACAGCATTGTCCTTTCAGCCAGAGGCAGACAGACGTTGGCCTGCCGGGGAAGGTGGGGGGCTCCGCTGTGCCTGAAAACAGGTCTCTCCTCCACCTCCTGAGGCTCCATCTGCAGAGTTCAGCTCCTGAGCCCAAATGGTTTCATAGCTTTCGCACAAAATCAAGTCATGGACCCGTGTGCATGTGGCATTGATGCCCCCGTGCATCTATGTTCTAGAACATGCAGCAAGGCAAGAGAAGGAATGATGCTGTTGCAGTCTTTATTAAGTGAAAGTAATACCTAAAAAATACCAAGCGTGAGCGTGCGCACATGTGTGTCTCTATGGGAAATTGTTTGGAAAGACATACGTGAAAATGTTAGTTTATAAGGGTTGAATTTTAGGCAATTTTAAATTTCATGTCAGGATTTTCTACAAATAAACATGTATTCGCTGTCATATTCCTATAAAGGAACTTTCCATGAAGGACTCTGTGCTTCTTTCTCCTTCCAAGTCAACTCCAGAAGAGTCCTGGCCTGTGCCTGTCCCAGGCCACAGGGCTCTGTCTGTCCTCAGTCACCTCAAAGTTTCTTCGTCGTCTTGTTTCAGATGAGCATGGCTGCTCAAGCAGGCAGGCCTGACGGCACCCTGGAGTCTGCCTCCCAGGCTGTCAGCTCAGAACCCAGGCCTCCAGCTCCTTGATGCAGAACTGCTCCTGCCGGGCCAGCACCTCATTGTTGAAGGTCGCACACGGGTGGCTTCCCCCACGATACAAGTCTCCGTCTAACCACAGCCCAAACTGGCCACTGAGGAGAAGAGGAAGTCTTGTGGCTCCCACCCTGAGCAGCCCTGGGCTGCCCGTCAGGTAGCCTGGATTTCCTCATCATTCCTTAAGCTAATATGCCCTACATTTGGAGGACTCCACAGGCTGTGGACTCAAAGCCCAGTTTGGGAACATCTGGAACATACTAATTCCCAAATTTCATAGAAAACCCAGGTGGGAACCAGGAAATCAGTTATTACACATCAGGCCTGGCCACCCTGCCAGGCGCCTCTCAACAGAGGCTGCTCATTCTTGGGCTTGCACCTTTGCCCCCAGGGTATGACTTAATGTTCCTGGATTTGAAGGTCATGCCAGGGATAAGAATAGATGTGTGTGTGTGTGTGTGTGTGTGTGTGTGTGTGTGTGTGCGTGCTAGCACTAGGGCTTGAACTCAGCCTGGACACTGTCTCTGAGCTGCTTTGCTCAAAGCTAGTGCTTTACCAATGCAGCCACAGCTCCACTTCCAGCTTTTTTTTTTTTTTTTTTGCTGGTTACTTAGAAATACGAGTCTCATGGACTCTTTTGCCGGAGCTAGTTTTGAACCACGATCCTTAGATCTCAGCCTCCTAGTAGTGAGGATTTACAGGCATAAGCACTGACACCTGGCTTCGTCTGTCCTGGGGCTTGAACTTGGGGCCTGGACGCTGTCCTCGAGCTTCTTTGGCTCAAGGCTAGCTAGCACTCTACCACTTGAACCACAGTAGCACTTCCAGCCTTTTCTATTTATGTGGTACTGAGGAATTGAACCCAGGACTTCGTGCATGCTAGGCAAGCACTAAGCACTCTACCACTAAACCACATTCCCAGCCCCAGACTTCTTTTTTTTTTTTTTTAACTTTCCACATACACAGAGGCCAAGCTGGGCAGATGCCTCCTCTAATGCAGTTTCCTGGAGGAAGGCTGCTGGGTGCGTCTCTAGCTTCATCTCACCACATCAGTTCAAACTAAGCCATGGCCAGCCATAAAGCCTTTGGCTAGGGAAGTTCATGCAGTCATTCTCCTCAGCCCTAGGCTGGGCCTAGGGTTCTCAGGGCTGGAGGAAGAACTGGGCTGAGATGCTGGCCTAAAGGCAAACTGCCAGCCTCCCTTTCCACCCAGACCAGCCATACCCACTGGGGATAAAACCCAGGAGGACAGAGATACGCACCTGCTGCTGCCCATCATCAGTAAATCCAAATCCCCTTTGACAAAGAAGGAGTTGCTTCCAGTCCACTTGAAGACCTTAGGGTACAAGAGAAAGGCTCTGTGTCTCTGCCAGTAACGTCCCCTGCAGTCTGACATTGAGCCGCTAGGTGGCAGCGTTGTACAGGGAACGACCAAAGCCCCGGAGAACAACAGGAAGGCTGGACCTTTGAGATTGGCTTGTGGCCCTTGCGATTTCTTTAGTCTCCATGGAGCTCACAGCCTCTCAGTGCCCTCTGGAAACCTTGGAGACTTCCTGCTTCCACAGTTGGAGACAGGAAAAGAGTCCAGGTCAGGAGTTGGGATGGCTGCTGCCATTAAGTTCCCATCCTTCCCAGGATGTCACCAAGCCGGCCTGCCAACTTCCACCATCCCTGTCCTGCCGGTCCCCTCCCCCCTTGCCCTCATCCACCTCTTGCCTGGACCACAGCCTCCCAGCTGGTCTTGCTCCCGCTGTCTGCCTTGCCCATCTCCATACTGTGACACAGTGACTATTCCAACCCCAGGTCACTGTCAGTCTTCTCCCTAAGGCCTCCCATGGCTCCATACAAGAGGGATACAGTCCAGTCCTTAGGCAGCCCTAGCACCCCTGCCTGCACTCATTCCTGCTTTTCTCTCTGCACTCTCCTCCAACTTACAGCACTTGAGATGCACTGGCCTTTCTATCCCTGGGACACCTGACTCCTTCCTGCCCCAGGACCTTTTCACTTACTGACACCCCTGCCCCTCAAGGCCACTTCTTACCTGTTGGTCCCAGTGTCACCCCAGAGAGATTTCCGAGTCTCCTTGTCTAATGAGCCTCTTCCTTTCTACCTTCAGAGGGTTTCTGGTCTAGGACTTGTCTCCCTCTCCAGGGATGTGTAGGAGTCCCTACAATCTATTTCACTGTCCCTCTCTGCCATCTGTACCCCGTTCTCTCACACACTGCTCAAGCTGTCTCTGTCCCAAGTCTTTGCCCTTGGGGAGACCTTTCCACCATCAAGATCCTCTTTCTCTCCTCCCCCTGGGGCTTCCTTTGCTCCCATCCAGCCTCAGTTCTGCAGCCCTTGTCCTGCTCTACCTCTGCTCACCCAGCTCGGTGGACGCTGGGGCCCCAAGCCCTCCTGGCTGAGGAGCTATGATGCAGAATGTGGTGTGGAAATGGCCACCTTGAAACTCACAAGCCTTGTCCTGGCCCAGCCTACCTCGGCCCAGCTGTCCTGCTCTACCAAGCAGCTGAGACTTCCTGTCCCACAGTGCGGGGACCATGTGACATCTCTCTCTTTCACACCCTGTGCTTGGTAAGATGCCACTGGACATGTCCTCCTGGCAGCTTGCCCTGGGAGTGTCCTGTGCTTGGACCATCGTGTCTTTCCAGCCTGCATCTGAGAAGAACATCCCTCCCCTTCTCAGCCAGGGACATCTAAAGATGGCAGCCATGGCACTGGGGCGCTCAGCCCTGATGCAGTCCCTGTGCAGAGATGTGTTGTGACCTGAGGCGGCTGTATCCCGCCCCTCCCACCTCACCTTCAGCTGTGGGGAGAAGGTGAAGAGGAATGTCTCCCCCGTGCCGTAGAAGCCTTTGCTGAGCCGGAGCGTGGAGGAGGAGAAGGCGCCGAACATCTACAAAGCACAGGCGATGTGGATTTCTGGGAAGCCGGTGGTGCTCTCCAGACTCCCAGATGTTGCCTGCAGCCTGGAGGGCAGAGCCAGGGACAGGCAACCCCTCCCCCCCACCACCACCACCGTGGTCCTCCAGCAGGGGCCCTCACCCTCTTCTTCATTCCCAAACACAAAATAACATTTGCAATATACAAGCAATCCTAGAAAAACTAGAGGCTGTAGACAAGCAGGAAGAAAGCCAACTAAAACCATCTTCTTCTTGAAGATGACTTTTTTTTTTATGGTACTGGCATTAGAATTCAAGGCCTCACAGTTGCTAGGGAGGTACTTTGCCACTTGAGCCATGTGTTCCCCAAAGTCAAGATGATTTCCTGTGGTATCTTGGCTACCGCCCTGGTGAGAAAAACAGTCTTTTCTTTCTTTCTTTTCTTTTCTTTTTTTTTTTTTTTGTGGGTTGTGGGGCCTGAACTCTGGGCCTGGGCACTGTCCCTCAGCTCTTCAGCTCAAGGCTAGTGCTCTACCACTTGAGCCACAGTGCCACTTCCAACTTTTTCTGCTTATGTAGGGCTGAGGAATCAAACCCAGAATCTCATACATGCAAGGCAAGCACTCTACCACTGAGCCACCTTCCTAGTCCAAAAGCTGTCTTTTCTATCAAGGTGGGTTGCTTAAAAATTCTTGCTTTGGCTGGGTGCCAATCACTCATGCCTATAATCCTACTCAGAAGGCTGTGATCTGAGGATAGCAGTTCAAAACCAGCCCAAGCAGGAAAGTCCATGAGGCTCTTAGCTCCAATACATTACCAAAAATAAGGGGGAGAGGGAGTGGAGTTGTGGCACAAATGGTAGAGTACTAGCTTTGAACCAAAGAAGCTCAGAAACAGTGCCCAGGCCCTTTCTTCAGTGTGATAGCTTGGTTTTTGTTGATTGTTCTGCTAAGACAATATCAGCAAGTATAGAAAAGGGCAAGAGGAAATGTTTTGGGATAAGGAAGAGTTTGTTGTTTTTTTTTTTTGGTCTGGTTGTGGGGCCTGAACTCTGGGCCTGGGCATTGTCCCTCAGCTCTTCAACTCAAGGCTAGCACTCTACCACTTGAGCCACAGCACCACTTCCAGCTTTTTTTTCTTTTCTTATGTGGTGCTGAGGAATCGAACCCAGGGCCTCATGCATGCAAGGCAAGCACTCTACCACTGAGCTACCTTCCCAGCCCAAGGAAGAGTTTTTGAAACAAAGTTTTGTCTTAACTGGTTGTTCCAAAATGGAAGAGTAATTAAGACATACCTCAGATTGTTTTGAGGTTGCTCATGCACTTTTAATCTTACCTCAAAGGTTTTTTTTATTTGTTTCTTTCTTTCTTTTGTCAGTCATTGAGCTTGAACTCAGGGCCTAGGCATTGTCCCTGAGCTTTTTCCACTCAAGGCTGGAGCTCTACCACTTTGAGCCAGTTTTGGTTTTCTGGTGGTTAATTGGAGATAAGTCTCACAGACTCTTGCCCAGGCTGACTTTGAACCATAATTTCTCAGATCTCAGCCTCCTGATAGCTAAGATTACAGGCATGGGCCACAGGTGCCTGGCTTATCTCAGTCTTTTAGTGGTCACTTTATGTAAATACATCTTACCCTCTTCAAATTAGCCAATCTGAGCAGATTGTATTCAGCCAATCCGAGCAGAGGGGTGGAGCCTGCTGTATTCAGGTTTAAAAAGGGAGCCCCCTGCCTGCTCGGGGTGCTTGCTAGGCAGATTTTTGGCTGATGGCACAAGCTTCTGCAGAAATAAAGTTTACCTTGCTAAGTTCCTTTCCAATTGATATCTGTCCTTTAATGTCTTTATTCTTTTTTTTTCCTTTTCTTTTTTTTTTTTTGGTTGGTCGTGGGGCTTGAACTCTGGGCCTACACGCTGTCCCTCAGCTCTTCAGCTCAAGGTGAGCACTCTACTGCTTGAGCCACAGCGCCATTTCCAGTTTTCTGAGTGGTTTATTGGAGATCAGAGTCTCACACAGATTTTCTTGCCTGGGCTGGCTTTGAACTGTGATCCTCAGATCTCAGCCTCCTGAGCAGATAGGATTACAGGCGTGAGCCACCCTCACACTCCAACATCCTCAGCCATTTCTAACATCATCTGGCATCCTAATACCATTGTTCAGATTTTTCCTCAGAGAGCCTCTGGAAACATCTGGGACTTTATTTGTTTATTTATGCCAATACAGGGACTTGAACTCAGGTTCACTTGCTCTGTCTTTGCTTTCTTGCTCACTGCTGTCACTTCAACCATGCCTTTAGCCTGGCTCTTTTGCTAGTTAAGTGAAAATGGAGCCTCTGGACTAGGATCTCAGCCTCCTGAGTAGCTTTGGATTATAGGCCTAAGCCACTGGTGCTAAACATGCTTTAGAAGCTGCTTCCTCTCACTTTTTTTTTTTTTTTTGGTTAGTCATGGGACTTGAACTCAAAGCCTGGATGCTATCTCTGAGCTGTTTTGCTCAAGGTAAGTGCTCTACTACTTTGAGCTACAGCACCACTTCTGGTTTTCTGGTGCTTAATGGTAGATAAAAGTCTCAGATCCTCAGATCTCAGCCTTTTGAGTAGCTAGGATTACAGGCATGAGCTAGGGTTACAGGGATGAGCCACCAGTGGCTTTGATTTGTTTGTTTGTGATAGGGTCTGGCTATACAGCCCAGGCTAGCCTCAAACTTACTATGCTGTCTGAGCCTCCCAGTGCTGGGGTTACACGCATGCACCACACACCCCAGCTTCCCTCATTTTTCTTGATCAATTTCAAACATATAGTTCAAAGCAGAGATCACTGCCCATGCACTCAGCAGCTGTGCAGCCAGCCATGTGCTCTGTGCTGGTTCTCTCTATGTATTTCTCTGACCTATTTGAAAGCAAGCAGCTGATTTGATGACCCTTCATCTCTGAACCGTTTAGCTCTTACGAATGAGAATATTCTCTAATGTAAGCATTATAGGAACCACCACCAGAGAACTAACAGTAAGTCCATGGTCTTATCTAGTTCTCAGCCCATTGCCATGTCCCCCAGCTATCCTGGGAATGCTGTTCATACTCTGTGTTAGAGAGGAAAGCTAGGAAGCTCATGCCTGTCATCCTTGCTCCTCAAGAGGCTGAGATCTGAGAGAGAAAAGCTAGGGGTCCACATCAGGTTCCTTGCCTACCTCATATTTCACTAACTGGCTTTGCCATCTTCCCCCTGTGGGAAGACGGGCTGTGGATCTTCAGCATGATAAACGGTGCCGAGCAGCACAGGTGAGATCACTGTGGGGACTGAGGGCCTCGGGGAGCAGCCTTTGGGGGTATATTAGGAGAAGCTCCCTCTTGGTCAGTTGTGTGCTCCCACTGAGGGGGCTCTGAGGGAAGAGTGAGCTTCCAGGCCTCTTCCATGGCATTTTGGGACAGCTCCTATATCTGGGGTCTCTGAGCTCCCTCCCAGCTTGAACATGTTCCTTCCACACACTGGCATCAGAAACCAGCTCCCACAGCTTCTGCCTAGAGAGCCATGCCTGGGCTTCAGGCATAGCTGTCATAAGGTGGTTGTTTTCTGTTTAGTTTTGTTTTCAGTATTAGGGTTTCAACTCAAGATCTCAAACTTGGTTGGTAGCTGTTCAAATACTCCAGCTATGGTCCCAGTCCTCAGACTTCTCCTTGTAAGCTGGGTGCAGGTGGCTCATGCCTGTAATCCTAGCTGCTCAGGAGGCTGAGATCTGAGGATCACAGTTCAAAGCCAGCCAGGGCAGGAACGTCCATGAGACTCTTATCTCCAATTAACCACCAGAACACTGGAAGTGGCGCTGTGGCTCAAGTAGAGTGCTCATCTTGAGCTGAAGAGCTGAGGGACAGCACCCAGGCCGAGTTCAAGCTCTACAACCAACAGACAAAAATAAAAAAAAACAACAACAACAACAAAAACCAATTCCTCTTGTAAAATAGTGGAGCCGCCTGTGGCTTCCTCCGCCAATCTGCTTCCCTTCTTACCCACTGCATTCTATTCTTCTCCCACCAGTGTGGGGGATGTTTTCAGAACACATACTGATCACTGAAGTGCAGATCACCTGTATAAAATACCTCCAGAAGAGCTGGCTATGTGGTATACACCTGTAATCCCAGCACTTGGGATGCTGAGGCAGGAGGACCTTGAGTTCAAAGTCAGCCTGGATTGAATAGTAAGACTCTGACTCAAAACAACACAGCAACAACAACAAGTGAACAAAAATCCCTCCATAGTTCTTGTGCTTTCCAAGGGTAAGGTGGCAGGTTGCTTGTTTAGCATACATTAGTTGTCATTTCCATACATGTAAACAAGGTATCCCAATCAAACTCACTCCTAGCACCCTTTCCCCCTTCTCTTCTTAAAACACTTTCCAGGTTTCATTCATTGTTCTATTTCATAATGCAAAAAAAAAACTGTGGTACATAATCCTAGCTGCTTGGGAGGCTGAGATCTGAGGATCATGGTCGAAAGCCAGCCTGGGCAGAAAAGTCCCTGAGACTCATCTCCAATAAACTACTCAGAAAAAGCCATAAATAGAGCTGTGGCTCAAGTGGTAGAGCACTAGCCTTGAGCAAAAGAAGCTTAATGACAGCATCTAGGCCCAGAACTCAAGCCCCATGACTGACAAACAAAAACGCTCTTTGGTCCATATTCATCCTAATTCGCCCTCTCTACCAGCCTCCCTTCCTACTGGAACCTACCCTCCCCCTTCCAAGCAGTTATGGGTTCAGTTTTTTTCCCTTCGTACTAAGTAGCATTTTGCTAAATGCTTCACACACACACACACACACACACACACACACACACAGAGGCAGACCTCAGCTCCCAGAGGCTGGGTCACTCTCTAGGTTGGTCTTGTTCTATTACACATAGGGAACACATGAACACAGGAATGCATGAGCACCAGGCTCCGGTGGTGCAGTGTCAGGGCCTGTCTGTGGTTGTGACTCGGTCTGTAGCCTCTGCCTTCCTCCCCTGGCACCGGTCTGGCTGCGAGTGCAGAGCTCCAGCGCAGCGGCTCACCTGCCCATCCTGGTCCCTGAGCAGCAGCAGCACTGGCCCACTGTGGCCCTCCATCTGCCGGTACAGGCTCCGAAGACTGAAACCGTCCCTTGATGTGCAGAAAACCAGGTTCCAGGGGCTGCCAGCGACTCTTGGGGGTAGGTGGAAGCTGAGCTGGAGGCAGGGGTGGAGGTTAGTGAGGGGATCACTTGCCTGTGTCCAGCAGCAATAGCCCATTTTACAGATGAGGAGAACTGAGGCTCAGGGAGGTAGAGAAGAAGTGGCAGAGACAGGAATCCAACCCACAATGGGTCTCAGGACTCTCCCCTTGCTCACCAGCTTCCCAGAGGCCAGAGAATAGAAGAAATGCTGAGCCCCTTTTCTGGGCCCCCAAGCCCAGCTCTGGCTCTAGATCCCCAGGGCTCTCACTTCTGTCCTCAAACCCTAGCCCAGTGCAGATGGCATTATGCTGCTGGGCCAGATGACCAGGAAGGACAGGGAAGTCTATACAGAAGAGGACATTTGTCACAGGGGACACTGAGCTGGGGACAGATCAACTATGACCCCGTGCCCCTGGGTGTGGCTAGTGTAGAGAAGAGACTCAGGGCTAAAGTCTTGGCACGTGGGCAGGGCCCGAACCTGCCTAATCTCTGAGGCACCCAGGACCTGGCTGGTTTCTGTCAGCTGAGGTTCCATGGGGTCTGCAGGCCCAGGGCTGGGGGCTGCCTCTGCTTCCTCCTTCTTGTCTTCCTCCTCCTCTTCCCTCTCGCTCTCTTCCCCAGACAGGGCATCCTCCATGTGAGTGGGCTGCAAAAACACAGAGGTCTGTTGGGGGACAGATCGAAACCATCTCACAAAACCCCAAAGTCTCTGTCCAGGCACCTGAAAGTCCAGCCCAGGCCGGGGTAGCTGCAAAGTTCCCAAGCTAGTCACAGACAGGACTCTGTCCTGCCCACAGCCTGCTTTCTCCTAGCCCCTGCCAGCCAAAGAAAGGGCTGGGGAGGAACCCCATCCTGCCCCTCAAAGTGCCCCACCCACTGCGCTACTCAGGTGGGGTGCTGCGCTCTGCTCACTTGCAGTCTGTGCCTGTTGGCTCTGCGCCTAGGTTAAGGTACCAGGTGTCATGCTCTAAGCTGGGCACCAGGCAGGGCAGAAGGCAGCCCAGGCCTGGACGCTGCAGCCCTGTATCAGTACATGACATAATGACAATAGCAATCCCCCGACGCTGTGGAACTTCATGAGCAGGCGTGTGTGCAGTGGTAGAGCTCCTAATTCTCCCAGAATCCTAAATTAGGATTCTTTCGTTTTGCTGTATCAGTTCTGGGGCTTGAACTCAGGGCCTGAGCACCATCCCTGAGCTGCTTTTTGCTCAAGGCTAGTGCTCTACTACTTGAGCCACAGCACCATTTCCAGTTTTCTTTAGTTGTCGAGGAGAGAGGAGAGTCTCACAGACTTTCCTGCCTGGGCTGGTCTCAAACCATGTTCCTCAGGCTCCTGAGTAGCTAGGAGGATGGGTGTGAGACAGGATCCTCCTGATTTCTCCACTATCCAGGGAAGCTGGCCTTCCGCCAGTGGACAGTGCATGTGGTCAAAGGCGAGGCTGTCTGTTCAGATTGTGTGCTGGCTTGAAATAGAGTTGTGTAGGCAAATCCATGTGAGGAGGTGTACATTCAGTATAAATTTGCCTGCTACATGGGTGTTGGGGGGGTCAATATATGTGTCTCAGTGGGCATGAGTGCTGTGTGGCCACTCACCTAAACTTCTACCATGTATCAGCATGTGTGTGTGTGTGTGTGTGTGTGTGTGTGTGTGAGTTCACAGGTGAGTACACATATGTGCAATGCCCCCAATGACTCCAGGCTCCTTGCAGGAAGGAGAGAGCTCTCTGAGCAAGAGAAACGCATAGGAGCCCCTTTTCTGGCCTCCTCTATTTCCCAATTCAGATATAAGGAGGGGTGCTCTCTGGAGGACCCTCTGGCAGGGAACAGACAATGGCTTGTCTCCTCCCCCACCCCACCCCCCTGAAGGAGCGCGGGGCCAGAGCCTCAAGCCCCAGGTTCCTGAGCTAGTCTTTGCTCTAAACTCCTGGCCAACAGGGAGGAACTTTTGAGGGCAAAGCCCCCTCCCACCTCCACCCTAGCCCATTTCCCTTCTTGCTAGAGATCAGGGTCTCCCTCACTTCCAGACCTCACCAGAGCTGCGCCCCTTACCAGCCGAGTGTACTGCCAGCGGGTCCCTTTCATTCTCTACACGGGAACTGTTTTCCTGACCTGTGGAAGGAAGTACCAAGACCAGACCTGGGTGAGACCTGGAGATGAGAGGGAGGATCCTGGGCACACCCACTGGCTGGCGCTGTGCCCGCCCAGCTGCCCTTCGCTCCCTCTCACCTGTCACCCCAGGCCAAGTGTCCACTGGGTGGGGTATGTGAGCATTCAAGGCCTGGCTTGCTTTCAGGGTCTCACACATGTGAGCCGCACATTGTCAATCTAGCTGTGATTTTTTTTATCAACACCAGGTCCTGTGGCAGGCTGGTGCAGAGACTGAGGCCCTTTAGAAACATGCCTGAGGCCCCAGGTGAGGTTTAGGAATCGCTGGTTTCCAGTATGACTGTGGATAAGCCTATTCACACCCTGGGCCTCAGTTTCCCCACATAGGACATCTAACATGTGAACTAGATAATCTCAGCAGTCCTTCCACAACTGATAACGTGCCAATTCAGGTCCCTCCCAAACGGATGAGTGAGGTGTCAGAGAAAGTGTGTGCCCAGACCAAAAGAACAGACCTATTAAAAAGAAATATGGGGGACTGGGAAGGTGGCTTAGTAGTAGAGTGCTTGCCTAGCATTCATGAAGCCCTGGGTTTGATTCCTCAGTACCACATACACAGAAAGAGCCAGAAGTAGCACTGTGGCTCAAATGATAGAGTGCTAGCCTTGAGCAAAAGAAACTTAGGGACAGTGTCCAGGTGCTAAGTTCAAGCCCTAGGACTGACAAAAAAATTAAAATTAAAAAAAAGAAAGAAATATGATATATCCAGGCACTGGTGACTCATGCCTATAATCCTAGCTGCACAGGAGGCTGAGATCCTCAGATCTCATGGTTCAAAGCCAGCCAGGGAAGGAAAGTCCATGAGATCCTTACCTCCAATTAACCATCAGAAAACTAGAAGTGACACTGTGGCTCAAAGTGGTAGAGTGCTAGTCTTAAGCCAAAAAGTTCAGGGATAGGGGCTGGGAATGTGGCTCAGTGGCAGAGTGCTTGCCTAGCATGCATGAAGCCCTGGGTTCGATTCCTCAGGACCATATAAACAGAAAAGGCCAGAAGTGGTGCTGTGGCTCGAGTGGTAGAGTGCTAGCCTTGAGCAGAGAGGCTCAGGGACAGTGCCCAGACCCTGAGTTCAAGCCCCAGGACTGGTAAAAAAAAAAAAAATGTTCAGGGATAGCACTCCCAGGCCTTGAGTTCAAGACTGACTAAAAAGAAAACAAAGAAAGAAAGAAAGATAGAAGAAAAGGAAGGAAGAAAGGAAGGAATGAAGGAAAGAAGAAAAGAAAGAAAGAAAGGAAGGTAGCTCAAAATAGTTCATCTCAACGTTAAAGAAAAACGAATTTGTGGGGCTGGGAAGGTGGCTCAGTGGTAGAGCACTTGCCTTGCATGCCTGAGGCCCTGGGTTAGATTCCCCAGCACCACATAAGCAAAAAGAAAAAAAGCCGGAAGTGGCACTGTGGCTCAAGTGGTAGAGTGCTAGCCTTGAGCTGAAGAGCTGAGG